GAAGAATGAGGACATGAGCGACAGATTAGACATATACTGCAGTTTCGGCCAAAATGTGTCTCTTATGAACATTTGGATCACTTCTCACTTCCAGTTCATACACAGCCCTCAAGACATGCAACTCATAATAGCTTATCATTTAAGACATAAGAATACCACTGAAATCATGAAACACTTCCAGAATAAGTGGTCACTCGTGAGTAGTGTCCAAAACAAACTAACGATGCGATTGTTTGACCCAAATATTGCCACAAATATAACGATCCCATCATTTAGTGTGTATTGTATTGCGATCGCTTCGAGGGAGGCATACAAATGCCAATTCGTGGTCACAAGTAGTTATCTTTCCATTTGATCCCATTTTCTTGTCTATTGGCTCTCATTTAATGTGTAACTTAATTGTCAATATATAGGATTAGATATGACTCGAGTGTTAACTCTATTAATTGGTGTCATTCTATTCCTCTTCGGTCCAAACATAAGCCGGTTTGTGATCACTATTGCATTCAATATAAACAATTGGTTTGATTTGAATTTTATCTATTTTTTAGGAGTATTTTATTTTATTATACGTGTTGTATAGGACTAGGAGTTTGTGCCTCATTTCTGGTTGTATTCTTAATAATGGGCCGCTATTTACCCCGAGTATGTCTGCAAACACTGATTATATGAATCATAACATTGATTGCAATTAACTTTATTGACAGAAACTATCGACAATTATAATAATGTTGGGCTCGTCTGCCATTGTGTTTGCGTTCAGAATATTCTGGCAAACGATACAGAATTTCCTCATTGATCACACCTTTTATGTCACTATTTATACATTTTTAATGGCTTTCATAAGCTTTGGTGCGGCCTATCGTTTCGGACCCGTCACTAACTATAAGACATTAAATCTCATACAATGGTTTCTACAGGTATTGCTCTGACACATGTCACGCGTGTTTCAATTGACAGTAAACTTATTTTTATTTTTCAGTCAATTGGATTGCTTTTAATGGCAACCAGTAGTGAATTGTATGAATATTCTCTGCCTTTTACACTAATAGTCTGTTCCTTAAAAGTGCTTCCATTTCAGCAAATATATACTTATCAAAGGTATGCATTTCAAGCAAATTATGCTTCAATAATATAAACTTAAAACTAATTGTAGGCTATATTTGAATAGAAAAGAGAAAATAAAAATCAGATTATTATCAGAAGAGGAGTTTGAACGGCAAAGTGATGTCCAAACGAGAAAAGCTTTGCAAGAATTAAAGCAATTTTGTATGAGCTCTGAGTGCAACGCCTGGCATACGATGTGTAACCTCAAAGACCCCATTAGGTATGAGATGTGAAATTATAGGTAAGCCTTCACTACATATTCAATACAATTGATCAATAGATTCGCGCGTTTTATTGACGGCGAGAATCATATATCGGATGATGAGATCATAGCCTATGAAAGGTGTCAAATGAATACATTGGTTGCATTGGCCGTCAATGACCCCAACAGTGAGGACGAGAGTGAACATGAATTCCAAGACTTACAGTAAAATCATTTAATAATCATTTATTTAAATAACAAAACAATTAATCCAAAGAAGATTTTCAATTCTAATGAATTATGAAATAATCTTTTGTTATAAGTATTTATGAATCCTTATACAAAATGTTAATATTATCACAAATATTAACAGAAATCGCATTTTCTTAATATTTGTTAGAAAATTATATTATTGAGAAGTAATTGCAAATATTGTGTTAAAATATAGGAGGAGCTGCCAAATGATCCGATCATTAGTTGCAAATTCATGTTATTTTGAATAAAAAATTATTTTTTTAATAAAATTCAGTGAATTCCGAATGAAGTCCTATTAGTAGAACTACCGGTAATTGCCAGCAAAGCATCGAAACATTGATTCAATTTATGTTCAAATTCAGAGATTTGTTTGAAAAGTTCAAAAATCATTTATATCTACAGTAATATGAATTAATTATAATATTTTGAACATTTGGTTGAATTTTAAAAAATGACAATTTCTCTAAATTTAATAAATATTACGCCAAATAATTATACGTGTCTTTAGCGCCATCAGCCCTCTCCAGGTACTCCTTTTCGATCAGAATATCAATGCATTTCTGAAAAGTGTATCAATCAATGAGAATGAGTGGACAGACGTGTGGTCACAACAGACATACCTTAATGACAGGAACGCTGGGCTTAAATCTGGAGGAGAGCTGATTGAAGACCTCTGCCAACAACTGCTGATGTTTTAACTTCTTTCGCATTTTCATAATCCGAACGATCGCTGCCTATAATGGTGTCAACAAAATGAATAAACAGATGCAATGACTGGACTAATGGATGTCTCACTTGAATGACAAGCTTTCTGTCCTCTTCGATGTGTTTGTGGGTCTTCTCCTGTTCTAACTTAAGCTCAGCCTTCATGGGAACGTTGATATTAACCCTCAACTTCTTGTTCTTATAGCCGACGAACAGCGATAAGACAGTCTGTGGGCTCAGATTGTCGGCCTCGTCGTCAGTGACGTTGTCGGAGTCCTCGCAGACGAGAAGTTTCACTTTGAGGAGGATGTGTATGACCTGAACCAACATATCCATCTTGATTTGCGTGCTTTCGAACAACTGCTGGACTGTGAACTGATCCGAATTGTTGTATTGCAGCAGAACTGCCATTTGAAATGTGGACGCCTTTCACACAGCAATCAATTGTCAATACATTGGCTGAACGTGTGTTAACAATGAGGTATACCTGAAGTGTGTATTTGTTTTTGAAGCAATTGGTGGTGATCTCGCCTTTGGACATGGAGTACAACCAGTGAAGTTTGCGACCACTGTGTTGGCCGCTGTAGAACGTTGTGAACCGTTGCACACTTCGCTCCAGCTATGGGTCAGGCAATGGTTAATAACCAATAATAACAATGAGTTGACAGCACTGTATGCTTACCTCTTGAGGCAAAGCGAATGTGAAGGACTGCTGGAAAGGCCACGAACCAGAACTCAACACTTGTATACTAAAGTCCACTGAAAGACACAAACAATTGACAATTAGTGATAAAAGGAGACAATAGTGAGAGCAGTGCTAACAATCGAGGGGTTCATTAGAGTTGATGAGATGTGTCTTAAACTGTTCGTTGAGATCTTTACTGACGCCGATGTCCTGAAACATTCGCTGCAATTTAGAGGTGTATTCGAAACCACAGGCTTGCTATCAGTGACCGACGAGACAACCAGTTATAGTATGACTCAAACATCAACAAAAGTGGACACAAAAGTCGACACAACAATACCTTAAGCTTTGAGATCATAGAGGCCTCGGCATCATCACTGGCAGACATGTGTTGAACTAATCGTTTGGCTAACATTTTACTATAAAATTTCTGAAAGACATCCTTGTCTTCAATGTATTTGAAGGCAATCATCTAAAAGACAACATTCAATGAGTTTATAAGTCTATAAGTCATAGTGATTAGTGGAGAGGACATGACATACCACTTGATTGAGAGTCTCTTCCAATTCGGTTTCCTCTGGAATTTTCGAAGTCTTCTTCAGAAGTAAATCACAGTATTTTGCGAGAAGTTCAGGCGATTTGCTCGAAGAGTTGGCCAAACGAGTGATTGAGTTATTGTTTATGAATTTTCCGCACGCCTTGTAATAAATGAGTTAACCATTAGATACTGTATGAATGGAAACAAGTGGAACGGAAGGGAAGGCATACTTTGTCGAGTGCGGCCACAAAGCCGGCGTCGTTGTTGAAGGCGTCCACAACCAATGCGTTGTATTTCTTGTGAACCTCTAGAGTTGTGGTCACATATATCTTGGGGTCGTTGAGGGCACTCTCGCCGCACCTTTCGATTGCATTTAGTCCCTGATTATGAATATGTGCTTCCAATCGGTTGCGGAGTTCCCCCAAACCGTTGGGTATTCTCTGAACCAATTGAAACATTCGACCCAAATCTGAAACAATTGACAAATCATTTAAATAATATTCACGTAAAGAGTCATTCAATGATACCATCATTTTTGTCGTCATTCAACAGGTTCTGGAACTCCGAGTGAAAGATCTCCAAATGGTTTTCAATGAGCACTTTCTCACAAACTTTAGCCAAAGGGCTTAAAGTGTTTTCGTGGAGATATAGCTGAACCCTCTTCTGCTCCTCGAAGAGTCTCTGTTCGGCTTTCTTCATGTATTCGGTCACCGGATTCTTATCCAGAAAGACACGGCTCTCCATCTTATAGTAGCGTTCCGTGTCTTCGAAGAACTTTATTTCGAAAGCGTCGTGATATACACAAAGGTTGGGACCCCTGGCCTGCGGGTCCTCTTCATTCAAACCCAACTCAACTGTTGTTTACACAAATCAAAGCAAATCAATACAAGTTCCCACAAACATATGACAAACTCATACCATAACAGTTCATAACACCGCTCACTAATCGCGTGTTTATTGTTTCGCCACTCCTTTCCTTCTCTATAAGCTTGAGGACAGCGTTAGTGACGGGTTGGTTGAGCTCTCGGAACAGACAGTCACGCCATGAGACCAAAGCCAACTGTTGAAGACATTGAGGAATAAGATAGTAATGAGTGTTTGTGGTATAATGGGTGCCACTGAGCCATACCTGATAGATCTCATAGATGCCTTTCCGCCCCTCATCGCACTCTCTCTTAACCCAATGGCGGTTCAGATAAGAACAGATTCCGTTCAACACTTTACTCGAGAACTGGTATTCTTCCCATTGTTTTGTGTAGAATCGCAGCACTTCCTCATCCATAAGATCCGTTCCGTCCTGTGGTTACAAATCAAGCAAATCATGACATAATGTGCAACAATATGGATGTCATGTGATCACAAACCTTCAACAAGTGCTTCAAGTAGTTCTCGAGGAAGTCTTTGAGGCGTTTGTAGAGTTCAAAGCCAACGAATTGGGCGCCGCCTTGAGTGATGCCCTTCTTGTTTCGCGACCCATTGGTCGTGAGGTTTGGGCTGACATTCTGGAGCACATTCGCGGCCCCAATGGTCGGCGACCTCGAGTTCGTCTGATGTACTGAAGTGCAGTAATTGTAAACATGTCTGCAATACAAAGACAAGCGTATAAGACAATGGCATGAGTGGTCATAATCGCGACATACGTATATAACTCCATATAACGGTTTTTAGGCATATTTTGTCTCTTATTGGTGTAGACCTGTTCGATGCCAGTCTTGAGATCACCCCAAATGTGATCCAAGTCTGTGTTGCGGAGACTCGACGCCTGACTGTTCTGAAGACGCGATGAATTCATGTTATTTGGTGTCGAAGTGGGAGAAGACATCATCGACAAGAGGACAGGCGATCAACTGGTGATCAGTTGCGGACACTTGTGTCGATTGGATTCGCGTTTCGGTTGTGTTTGGCTACCAATGAGTGAATGAAATGCAATTCAAATCAAATGCGTATTCAATGTATGAAATGAAGCCTTTGTTTGACTGATCGCGCGATCACTCAATCCATGCCTTCATTACAAATCACTTATTATTGCATTTATGAGTAAAATAACTGTCAGTTCACGAGTTAGCCCGAGAAATGGCAACAATTATCACTAATTATTGTCTTTTTGTCCAAATCAACACAAATGGCGGCCAATATGTGGACCAAAGAGACACCAATGGATGCGATGGTGACAATCGATGGCTAATATGAGTGCAATCGTGAGGACACCAGTGATGGACAGCAGACAACACTTCACTCAATACTCAGTCACCAGTCGTTCATCGGTTCACTGATTCAGTGATGAAGGGATTCAATGATTCACTCATTGAGTCAATCAGTGATTGTTTTTGAGGCTGAATGAGACAACACAACAACTGACTTGTGAGCCAACACTGCATTCAACGCATACATAGAGGGCACCACTCATTCACTAATACAGTGTCTGACCACTCGTTTTCTCAAATTAATTAATACCTCAATACCTGTCCACCACTTGACCCATACCTCTATTACATATGCTCATCATATTGGCATTACATGTCATTTGCATACAATTGAGTCACTCTTATGCTTATCATAAAGACTTTATTCATGAAACACTTATGAATAAAGTATATGACTGTATGTTATGAATAAATAGATATTCTGTAATTAATGCCAATTCTTGGGCACAATTTCTAACACTAACCTCTAATTCAAGTCTATTAATAACTGACTGTATTTACTATTACTACAACACGATCATCTTAGATAAATTACAATGCAAAATCAATTCAAGTATCCTGGTTACTTTAACAAATTGTTAAATTTAATGTCTATTATTTGATAAAATTTTTATACCAGTATAGAATTTTGAAAAGTTTTATAGACTTGTATGAATAAATGTAGTGTATTATTAGTCTAACATGATATAAAGTAGATTGGTGCAATGTACAAAGACATTGAGATAATACGCACAAACGTATACTAAATAATGAATTGCATGTTATAATGAGATAATATGACTGAATGAGTGAATGACAGTGTATTTGAAAGCAAACGTCAATATCCCTAATGAATGTCATGTGAGATATAAGACATTGAATTTGATGAAAGGGTTCAGAAATGCAACAACAGGTCGTTTGCCAGCATTTTTTGAGCATTTGCTCACTTTTTGAGTGAAATCCAACTAAAATATGCAAATCATTGCTTGTGGGATATGTGCTATAAATAAACTCATTTCTATGCAATTTTTATTTATTTTGAAAGCAATGAAATGCTTATATAATGATAATGAGGTCAACAGAACTTTTGACACAAAGAATTTGCTTTATATTTCCATACAATAAATTATTATCAATTGAATTCAGTTATTGCTTAACAATGAGATTATGTTTGATATGTGTATGTCATTTACTGTATAAAACTTGTATTTAACTATTAATATCAGTGTATATAACAAACATACAAACAATAAGAGATCTTTAGGAATAAATTAGCTGTCAATGGAAAAGACACATTTGTTTGAAATGAAATTATAAAGAATATTGAAAGTCATCAATTACAACTTATCTATTAATCAGATATAAAAGTGAATGGTTTATAAATTATATGAATGAGAATGATCGAGTACAGCTTTCTTACTATAAAATAATTACTCAATTGCTATTATATTCTTATACTTTGGCTTCAAACAGATTTCTTTAATTTGTTGTTTGTTTTGGTGATATGGCTGTCAATCCATGCCCTATAGGCAGATGTCTTCATGTAAACTCCGGGCAAATTGGGTTCAGCGCAACGAATGCCATGAGAAACGGTTCCGACGAGAACCCAACGGCCGTCCGCTTGTGGTAACATGAGAGGACCGCCGGAGTCGCCTTCACACGAATCTTTGCCTCCACTCAGATAACCGGCGCAAACAAATGTGTCGCGAATGGCTTTGATATGTCCCGAGTCTAAGAACATATTCTGACAGTCGCTGTTCGCTAGGATCGGCAGTTTCACCACTTGTAGGATACTTGGGATGGAACCACCTTTGGATTCGTATGCAAAGTGTTGGCTTAAAATAGTTCATCAAATTGAGTACAGCATATAAGAGAGTGTCTAACCATAGCTCAATTTGCCCCAACCGGCCACATACGCCACTTTGCCCACATAGTCGGTCTCATGGGCCGGTGGCAAACAAATGGGAACGACATGTGGCTGTACTTCGAAAGGACTTTCCAGTTCGAGGAGCGCGATGTCGTTCTCAAAGGTGTTGGGATTGTAGTCGCGATGAACTATCATTCGTTTGACTCGTTTGGCCACTGGTTTAAGACTTTCAATATCACCCGTTAAGTCATATTCTCCGAGAACCACCACAAGTGTACCTAAGAATCTATTTCTCCTATTAAGACATTAAACTTTGACTTTTCAGCCGTAAAACGCTTGAACATACCCGGGCTGGCAGTGGGCGGCTGTCAGGACCTGAAGTAATGCAATAAATGGTTAAATGATCACAAAAGGAAAGCACATAAAAGTCGAACCCATTTATAATCGATCAGAACTCCACCACATTTAGTCTTAACGAATAGTCCCAACCACGTGGCCTCCTTGACCAGTACAACCCACGGCCACTCACCGAAATGGGCATTCCTTCCGCCCACTACTCGCCCACTCATTGGACGCAGGGGACGGACACCACACTCTGTTTGTTTGAATCAATTAGTTTAGATTTGGTCTCAATATTAGTTTCGTTACAATAGTATTCAAAGTTTTAGTAATCCATTTGAGCATATTTTAATCAGAACTAAGTTTTGTGATAAAGTTATCCAAGATTAATATTGACAAGTTAGAATCAAAAACTTACACATAGTTAAGACATGTGGTACTCAATGTCGTTTGGGAATAGTTTGGATGTTTGTTATGAGTTATTTTTGATCAATTATTAACATTATCATTTCAAATCAATTAGACATTTGACAAAATAAAAATATTTAATTTTAACTTACTCTCTAAGCCATTCATTTTGCGACTTCACAGTAAAAAATAAAATAAGTATTAAATTATATAACATCAACATTATATAATAAATATCAAAGAATTAAAAGACTTAAATTTAATGTTCACTTAATTCAATGAATTTATTTAATTTAAAAAATACATAAATATTTTAAATATAACTAACATTTTCAAAGAATTTATTTAATAATAAATAAAATAAATAAATAAAAATATTTACATTTTCCTATTCACCAATTATTGGTAATTCTATGTATTTTGAAACAAAAAACATTTTCATATAACTTCTAGAAAGCAATGATTTGATTAATCCATTTCGCAAATGTTGTAATTCTGGTATAGACGCCTGCAAAGAAGTATTACAAGATTGACAACTACTATGAAATAGTAAAGCAAATGAATAAGACTGACCAGGTTGATTGGGAAGCGCACATCCTATACCCCAACTGATAATTCCAACTAAATTCCATCTCTCATTATCTTCTAAAACTAAAGGTCCGCCACTGTCTCCCTATTTGTTACAATAAATGAGATTATTTACAACATGCAATAATTGTCAATATATTCTCTTAATTGCTATTAATAAGAATATTCTGTTAATTCTGTAACAGAATGTTTGAATGTTTGTGTAAATTGTGTTCATTGAGACGATCGAGATTTGATGAATAAATAAGAAATGCTTACTTCACACGAGTCTTTGGCCCCTTTGGCCAGTCCGGCACATATGAAAATATTGGGAATATCTTCTATATAACCGGCCCGTCTATACATGCCTTCGCACTCTTTGTTAGTAATGATGGGCACGTCCACGTGTTGCACCACATCAGGCAGTGGTCCGTCTGCGAGCAACCCATTAGTTTGAAACAAATACCGATGGACTGTATTTCATATATTATATGATGTCTAAGAAAGCATACCCTCATAGAGTCGACCCCAACCGGTGACAGTTGCCCACCGATTGACATAACTGTCATTATGTTGAGGAATACAAACTGGAACAATATTGCGCTGAAAGTGAATGGGTTCGTAAAAACGGAGCAAGGCTATGTCGTACTCAAAGGTTCGGGGATCAAACTGCGGGTGAGGGGCTATTATCTGCACTCGACGCTCAATATAAGGGAAGGGCTCTCTCTCATGACTGACGTCGAACTCTCCGAGTCTTAGCAGCAAATCAGTCGGCGATACACTTAAGACAATAGAGAAGAGATTTTAGACGGCGTTTCATAACTCTCAGCAACAGAATGGCTATACTTCTCAACGCAATGCGCGGCTGTTATAACCCAATACTCATTGAGGAGAGCGGCCCCACACTTATGCAGAAACGAGTTTTTCTTCCACTGCCGCAAAGACACCTAAAAGTCGGGCAAATGTGGTTGTTTTGGGCGTTAATTTCTAGACACAACTCATAACAGACAGACCATCCAGGGCCATTCCCCAAACGACGACTGAGTGCCACCAACTATGCGTCCTTTGGGCGCTACTTGTCTTTTCCCACAAACTATTTTCATTAATTCTCATTAAATTCGTCTCAAACTCTTAATCTTATAATTATTTATTTAAATTCACTTAATATGATACCTGCTTTCGATGATATCATGGGGTTTGATGTGGTCTTTGGAGTTGTATATAGAGTTGATTCCATTGCAGATCTCCTCGTTGTTGTTGTGATCGGTGGTGATGTGGATGTGCTTATGTTTGCAGATATAGGACTAAAACTAAGAATAATAGGAGTGGTACTGGTCTTGGTGGTTGTGGTAGTACTCATTGTAACGTTAGTGTTTGCAATAATACTACTGGGGGTGGTAGTGCTGGTTGTGGTAACACTCGGGATGGTGAAATTTGTTGAGCTAGTAGTGAGTAGGGTGATAATTGGTGGTAAAGCAGTCGAGGCTGTTGTAGTAGTGCTGCTGGTGGTGGTGGTGGTGGAACTGGGGGTTGTCGTGTTGGTTGTCGTAATACTATTGGTGGTAGAACTTGGGATAGTGGTGTTTGTGGTGATATTAACAGGTGTGGAGGCTGTGGTTGAGCTGGTGCTTGTTGTGGTAATTGGGTCTGTCACAGTTGTTATAATAGTAGTAGAATCTGCCGCATTAGTTGTGGTTATCGGTAATGTAGTAGGAATTGGTTGAATAGTAGGGGCCGCCGAAGTAGTTGGAGTAGTGATTCTTGTAGTTGTAGTGCTGGGAGTAGTAATTCTTGTGGTTGTTGTACTGGGAGTAGTGGTTCTTGTAGTTGTTGTGGTGCTAGGAGTTGTGATTCTGGTGGTGGTAGTGCTAGGAGTAGTAATTCTTGTAGTGGTGGAAGTAATAGGAGTTGTTATTCTTGTGGTGGTAGTGCTAGGAGTAGTAATTCTTGTAGTGGTGGAAGTACTAGGAGTTGTTATTCTTGTAGTGGTGGTAGTACTAGGAGTAGTGTTTCTTATAGTTGTTGTAGTGCTAGGAGTGGTAATTTTGGTGGTGGTAATACTGGGAGTAGTAATTCTTGTAGTTGTAGTAATAGGTGTAGTGATTTTTGTGGTAGGAATAGATATTCTGATTGTAGAAGAATTGGGAGTACTGGAGCTGATGATATTTGTGCTTGGGATAGTAGTAGGAATGTTTGTATTATTGAGGGTAACGGTGCTAGTTGTGTTATATAAAGTATTAGGAGTAACGGTACTCGTAGTAGTAGTAGTGTTTTGATTAGAGATTCTGATGGTAGTAGTATTAAGGGGTTTGACAGTACTTGTAGTAGAAGAGGTAGTGGTAGTCAATGGTGTGGTAGGAGATGGAGGAGACGGTGTAGTGGATGAAGGAGTCCTAACCGGTAACTGACAACAGCTGCCGACGAGCCAACTGTTAACACAATAGCCGACGGGTTTGCCTCCGGACTGAAGGCACTCGTATTGAAACATACAAACTGCTGAAGTGTCCGACAAATCATTTTGGTTTCTACAGGGAACTGCTTTAATGGCTTTGTATTTATTCTTATATCTGTAGGCCGTTATATCTGTGAAAACATTTCACAAAATACTTGTTTTAAACTCAATAGTACGTGAAATATAATGTTAAATAAGATATAAATCTATTAATGATTTCAAAAGGTATTATCAATATGAATGTTAAGTTTTGAAAGTTTCTAACAAAGGTCATTGACTTTGTTTACCATTCAATAACCTCTGAGAATAGTATAGATACCCTGCGGTCGTAATAAAGAAAACGCTTTTTCCGTATTAAGTAAAAAGTTAAATAAAGAGTAGAGAAGACCCACTGACCAGTGTTAAGGCAAATAGGAAATCAAGTCTCAAGTTTGCAGCAATCGCTGCAACATAACGTGTATTATATGTTCCCATGTGTTGAATGAGTTCAATGTCAACACTGAAAGTTAGTTCACAACCAAAGGTAAACGACCTGACAATCAATCTCAACATTCTCATACAACTTTCTCAATGTTTGTCGTAATCATCATTTAATTAAAAATTGCACCAAATTATCAAGGTAATTAAAAGATACTAGATATACATTATAATTAATAAATTAAAATAATATACGACTAAATAGATAAAATTCTTATTAATCAATATTTATATATTGTTCCGGACACTATTATTTCAAGTGCAGATTCACTTTCATCTTATTTTGACTATAAATCAGAATGAATAATCATTGCATATAGTGAATGAATGCATTATATTTACTATAAATTCTGATTAGGACATACTTTCGTAAATTAATGACAAGAATTCATTGATATAAAAACTTTAAAACATATTTGCTCTAGACAAATATTAAATAAAGGGATTTTAATATATTGTAAATTACTAAATATGATCGCTAATAATTTAGAAGTTATATAACAATTTAGAATTATTTTATAATATGATCCATTAAATCACATATTTTAAAAATTAAGTAAGCTAATAAAAACTTAAAGAAAGTTATTATTAACATTTTTATAAAATAACATTTAAAACTTTCAATAAACTTTTATCTATAAATATAGTATTTGAACACATCTATCATATGTATTTAAATTACAAAAATTAAAATAATATTCTACGTTATATAAATGAAAATTTTTAATTAATAAAATAAAAAAATTATAACTAATTTGAAGGAAATAATAAATAAATTTAAAATGAATAAACAAAATATGTTTGGCTTAGAACATAGCGTACAATACCTGATAAGATTCCCTTCTCATTGGTTTCCGTCTGTGCGCTCACATCACTCACAATAATCACAAAAATCACTAATAATTCCAATTCTTTAATAATTATATTCATTTTGATTGACTTTTAATCGGATGTGACTCTCGATTATCGCATATTTATCTGAGTTTAATAAATATTATTTAATTGTCTTAAACTTTACTGATTTATATCAATGAATTTCAATGTAATAGCAGTGGAGCACCACTTCAGAGCACTGGCGTTGAGATGCTGACTGAAAATTGTCGAAAAGTTGTACTACAAGTCGGTACACATTCAACACTATACTGTATTTGAGAGACACTATTACAGTGAAATCTCTACTTTTGGCTAAGTTGAAGGGTTCACGGTTATCTAGTTGAGTCTATTATTTTTAGCATGTATAATTATTCTAGGAATAATTCTGAAACTTTTTTTGAAAGAAAATAAAGTGCAAGGATTT